GCAACAAGTTGCCAAAAGAAGCATCAAAGATAGGACTTCAGGTGAAAGTTGTGTGAGTAACTTGATATGATTATGAGCAATAATTTGTGCTCGAAACGTCATCAGTTAATATTGCTGTGTAACACTGTGTGATTTATCAAAATAAAATCTTATCCATAACGGACTTCAGGTGAACATAGATAAAACAGAGGTGATAAAGATTCCTGAACAAGAACAACAACAACAGACAATGATCAGCATAAATGGGAGGAACCTGAAAGAAACAACCTCTTTCACCTACCCACCTACCTGGGAAGCATCGTTTCAAATACAGGCGGACACTACTGACGAGGATATCAAAGCAAGAATCGATCGGAAAAGCAAGACAAGCTTTCACTACTCTCAAGTCTGTGTGAAGGTCAACAGCACTCACCACTCAGCATGAAAAGGAAAATAAGATCCGGATTTTCAACTCCAATATGAAGTCAGTGCTAATTTCTATATGGATCAGAGACTTGGCCGGCGCGTCTTAAAGAGCATCTCAAACAAACTACAGACCTTCATCAACAGATGTCTTCGCTCAGTACTCAAGATTAGATGGTCGGCCAGAAAAGATCAGCAACAGGCTGGGATCTCTGGCAATGAGCGAACCAACACAGCAGGAACCGATTGTGAAACAAATAAGCAGGAAGAAATAGAGATGGATTAGATTGTGGCCATACTGTGAGGAAACAAACCATCAAGTGACATCACTAGACAAGCCCTCACTCAAGTGGAACCCGAAAGGGAAGCGGCGAGTTGGTCGTCAGTGCGAGAGTGGGTGACTTGGAGGAGGTCATGTGAAGAGGAGATGATGAAAGCATGTGGGCAGACCTGGAGCCAGGTGAAGACTCTAGCAGAGAACCGAACGCAATGGAGACGCACAGCTGAAGCCCTGTGTTCGTCTAGGAATTAAAGGAAACAATAATAATGTAATAATAATTCATAACTCTTGTTCTATAACTATGCCTTTATTTTGAAGTATGTTATGTAATTTTCCATTTATAATAGCTCATTTCACTTCTGGGCTGTGAGCAGCTGACGAAAGGCAGCGAAGCAAGAAACATTAGTTCTTTCTATGCTACAGATATATTCATTGTCTTCGTCTTCAACTAAAATTCTTTACTAGAGGACATATTCTTATTAATAAACAAAAGTACATTGAAATATGATATGGTGAACGATATTCAGTCCGGAAATAAACCAATCAGAATTAGTCTATGTAATTAATCGATGCCCAGTCTGGAAATAAATGAATCAGAAGTGGCTCACTGCTTTATCGATCATGACTACAGACTGGCTGACATGAACCCTGGTGATTTTTTGAATGATACGTTTTCGTTTAAGTATACCTACTTTTCCGGTTTTACCTCCTGTGTGCTGTCGTTTAAGTTGCGAGCTGAGGGATCGATTAGTCATTGAGTGCTGTGTTGGCGTAGACCAGTGATAGTCATGATTACCGCATCTGTCAGCAGCTCGGCGTACTTATTTTCAACTTAGCGTCGTTTTGCAAAACATTTTTTTTTTATTTCCTTCACGTTCCCCAGTGGAACATAGGGCTTCAAGCTAGAGGCTTGAAGTTTCTGTAGCAGTGGTGTTTATTTTACAGGATGGGGTTGCTAGCCACCTCATGCCCAACCTTTCCTCTTCACCAGCATTATTTCTGGCTTAGTGAGATAAAGGAGTGCGTCGGTCGGGGATCGAACCCCGGACCATGTGCATGGTCGGCAAGCGTCCTAACCACTATGCTACCGACGCAAAACATAATAAAATCCTATTATAACTTGGCATTTTAAATGTTATAGCTCGTACACCAATGAAGAGCAGTCACAAAATAGTGTAAAGTGGATTCGTGTTATTTTACGCACTAATTTATAACCATAGTTTCAGGATTTCAGCTAGAAATGATATCATCGGTTAGACAAGCATTGGGAAACCAGCTGGGAGGACTGAACAGACTCCACTTCAGCAGTACACACCCACCACAAGGGTTTGAACCCTGGAGGTTCGGGTTACAAGGCGAGCTCCTTGACCATTCAGCTAACAACATTCGCTCCAATGGCCAGCTCATGAATTCCAACTTCAACAAATTCGTGATGTACGTAGCGGAACCAGCAGCCAGTGTCACAGGTGAGCAACTGTCCTCTAGTTCTGGTGAGAATTTATAACGGCCGGGATCTATCGAGTCAGGAAATAGATAAGTTAATCGGCTAGGACATTAGCTCGCGGTTCCGCCATATATATATACATATATATCGCGAATTTGTAGACGCTGGAATTCATGGACTAGCCATTAGATCGAGTGTTATTATCTGAATGGTCTAGGAGCTTACCATGTAGCCAAAAGATCCTGGGTTCGAACCCTGGCGGTGAATGCGTACTACTCTAGAGTCGCTAACTACGAATAGACACTTGTCCAGTACTCCCTGGTGGTTTTCCATTAGTTCTGTAACTGATGTCAACTCGTAGTCAGTTGGTCGATAGTGACTGGCAGTAGAATCCAGGATGCTCGTTTGAAACTACGGACACTGGGTTCGAACCTCGGTGGGTACAGCATCAATCACTAAGGAATGCAGGTGCATCTGGACGACGGGTTCCAAATAGGACGAAGTGTGCATCATGAATTGCACCGCTAGTCACCATTGACCAATCGACTTCAATTCACATGAATAGACATCATCAAAGCATCTATCTGCACAGGGAGCCAACGCGTTAACCTGAGACCGAGTACTTCGGTCCAATCAGTCGACGAGAAAATCTCAATTGAATTAAGTAATGTTAATTCGTGTTTAAGTGCGTCGGTGGCATAGCGGTTAGGACTCTTGCCAACCATGCACATGGTCCGGGGTTCGATCCCCGGCTGGCCACGGACGCACTCCTTTACCTCGCCAAACCAGAAATAATGCTGGTGAAGAGGAAAGGTTGGGCATGAGTCTGGCAACCCCATCCCGTAAAAATAAGCACCACTGCTACAGAAACTTCAAGCCACTAGCTTGAAGCCCTATGTTCCACTGGGGAACGTGAAGGAAAAAAATTCGTGTTTAAACCTGTGGCTCATTAAAATATCAAATTTACGGTGTTATATAACCATAAGAATTAACGTTTCTTTAATGAATATTAGAATAATATATATAGAAGAATGATTCACAGAACTATATGCACAAAGGCCATAAGCATAGCACAAAAAGCTTGCTACAGTATCGCACCAATAATAAAACAACATAGGAGATAAAAAGTAAAAAGCGAACGGATAAAGTACTTCAACTGGAGGGAAAGCAGTCATATTTAGCAAGTTCGAACAGCATTCGTCAATTATTGTCAGAAAGGGAAGAAGGGTACGATGTTCGCCACTGATTATTGCGATTCCTCGCATAACCGATAAAGTTTCGAGTCGCCAATTTGAGCCGCTGTCTCTGGGACTTCAACCAGGGAGTCGTGTCACACCGATGGCTGCTAGTCTAACACAAATCGCCTTCATCCTATGACGCCACGTCACGTACTGACCACCTCTCCGACTTTTCCATCCCGTCCCAGGGCCGGCTAGTGAACAGAGGCCTTGGATGACATTCGTAGCACATACCCAAGTCAATGAAGCCGGTGTTTCCAGATGACGACGACACTCAAAGAATGGTGATCTCCGCTGCACCAGAACACACGCTGCCAAACCTCTGAATTACTCACGCACTGGTAGAAAGAAAAATAACATCATCGGGAAAATTTTAAAATATTACCAGCTAACTACTTTCTGACCTTATCGATCCATCCTATGTCAGTCAGTGGCTAACATCGCCCGAACCGTCATCGGTAGAAGAAGGAAGGCGATGGCTAGGAAGGCGTGCATGCGTCACCAACACATGTCCTAACCATCCATCTCAATTGGTGTAACTGCTTCACAACCTCACTGTCGATGGATTTCCCCTCATCCTCCTCCTATTGCTTCCTTACCTATCACTCAACCGACCGATGCCTCACCTCAATATTGCTTGCTCTCTCACCCTGTCACACCTACCACCCACACCAACTAACACGAGAGGTGGATAGAACGTAGACACCTATGATCAAATACACCTGGCTAGCTAGTTAGCTTGCCTGACTTTTCATGTCTTCCAGTGTGTGAATGGCCACGTCTCAAAGCCAGCCAGCCAGTCAGCCACCAGTCACCACTTCACTCCTGCCTGCCTGTCTGTCTATCTTTAGGCTAGAGGTGACTCAGTGAACGCAATACCGTAAAGCAAAAGTCATTAGAGTATCCGAACAAACGTATAATTAATACATGCCTTTTATTACAATCTGCACAAGTTTGAAAAACAAAAACGCCAAAAATACAAATAAAAAATTCACTTTAAAAATGAAGCTATTCTCAATTATCTGTGATCAGTTGAAGGCGAGATTGAATTTTTATTTATTCGCTTTGCTTTAATTTTATTTGGAAGGCAACGGAACGGAAAAGTTGATAGATGATCTGAATGTGTGTGTTTATCTGCTGAATAAATCCACAAAACACAGGGAGGAATGCATAAGCGCCGCATAACAAAACCGGGATAGAGGAACGAAAATCTACACGGCGACACACTGTGCATTTATAAAAACAACAAACAGACAAACATTGAGAATAAAATACGAAAATAAATTACAAAAACAAAGGCAAAACAGAGAGAAATACAAACTGAACTGAAGGCACTAACTAATCTGTTTGGCTTTGTATGGGTGTGTGCGTGTGTGTGTGTTAGTGTGTTGATTACGCATACACACACGCACATACACACCTACGCACAACATTACCATCCTCCCTTGATGTATATATAACTGTCGTCATCACGCACTCACCAAACACACCAAACATCTCAATGTTCACTCTTCGTTGATAAGGAAAAATCTAGTCAAGATTAGAACGAAAAATTCAAAATGCATCATTGTATAATACACACACCCACGCACACGCACACACACACACCCACCCACCCACGCACACTATTGTGATGTCATGTTCTCAATGGAGGTTGATCGTGGGAGATAAAATTTACAGTTCTGATATCACCGGTCAAATCGAGCGTTGATGGAGACGGTGAATCACGTGCTAATGCTGAATCATTATCATCATTCGATGACCTGTTGCTGGTTAAAATCGATGGTGAAATAGGAAAATAACCAAATGCATTAGTATTGTTAACAGAATTATGATGACTGTATTGTTCCGTGAATGCGTTTGTAAGCGATGGTAGGCCAGGATGTGTTATTGTTGATAATGATGATGCCGATGAATGTTTTGTCGGTGTTGGATAGTTGTCAGAGGATAATGGTCGATTTAATGAATGAATACTACGATTGTTATTACTATTAATGGTAGTAGTATTAGTAGTAGTGGTTGGTGTTATTGTTGGTGTATAAGTGTAATTAAGAATCGGTGTAACTGTGACCTCTTTCGACTCATTATGACACGGACAGGAACACGTTTGTACGCCTAGACTTACATGATTATAACGACAATCAATACAGAAGTTCTGTCCATCTAGATTATTATTTTGAAATGAAACAATTGAACAGTACGGTGATAGCATATCATATTCATGCATGTGATTACAGTTGTTGTTGTTGTTGTCCATACTACTCATAGTATTAATAGTAGCAGTAGTACAACTTCTAGTATTCTGTATAAAATTCCCATTGTTGTACACACTTCGATAATTGTCACGACTTGAAAGCGTCAGCAGGTTCTCGTCGACACCGGTGTAATCATCATCAACATCATCATCGTTGTGAACATTATTATTATTATTATTAAAGGCAGCAGTTAATCTACTATTGTAGACAGCAGATCTAGACGTGGCACTTGAATTTGTACAGATATCATGCAAAGATTGGCCAATATTCTCTGCATGCTCTGCATTCATTAATAATAGACCATCAGTAAGACCAAATCGATTTGTTGTAGTGCTGCCAATAGCTGCTGTCTGGCCTAAATGATGCGTGGAGTTCGTGTCTGATAATCCTGAGGATAAGGATGAATTCGAGGAAGCCGTTGAAAAGAATGACATATGATGATGATGATGACCTAGTAACATGTTGTCACGATTATGCAGATTACCAGCAGAAAACGGTAGATAGGCGTTCTCCTCGTCAGTTTCATTGATGTCTGGAGAATAGAATCGGTGAGATCGACCTTTTAAAGCGAAAAGGAAAAGTATGGGAATAAAAAATTACGATTACTGTTATTATATATTATTAGTGTTTTTCAATTAGATCGTCGAGAATTGTTATCCAGAAAGATTTATTGCAAAATCTATGAATCCTAGACCAGAAAAAGCCACCCATGCTTAGCATGCCGAAAAAACTACTCTACATGAACCTTCAGTTCAATGGAGATATATCTGCAGAAACACTAAAAAAAATCGACTGTCGCGCTCGCTTAAGAAGACCTTCCTCGCAGCTGAACTACGACTAACCTTCTCCACAAAACCCATGATTCATATGAACGTGAAGGATAAGCTACCGCTGCTGGCCTCATCAATGTGTATTTATCAACTCACCTGCTCGTGTGGAGCCAGGTATGTTGGCCGTACCCACCGCTCGCTTTCCAAACGTATCACCGAGCACTTACCAGCATGGTTTTACAAAGGAGAAAATCCATGCCCCCGCAGTTCCATCTTAGAACATCTGATAGAATCCAGACACCAAGCTACACCGCAAACAAACTTCAAAGCCGTCTACAGAGTAAGAAGTAGTCTTCCTAAGGGTGTACGAATCAGATTTCTTCAAACTGCAGAAGCAAAGGCGATTCACTTGCTAAGTCCTGAACTCTGCATACAGAAGAAGTTCGTTCAATCACTACACACTTGCAATGGACGTAATCTATCCTATTAGCCGACAAGTAAATTCTACCTAATCTTTTCTTCTGTCTCTTCATTAGTATTATTTTGTCTTCTCAATTGTAATATTTTACATTTTCAACTTTCTTGTTCTCTAACCCCACCCGATTTAATTTCTACACCTCACTGCCACTGTTACTGACTTGAACAACGCTCAATTTATTTATTTATTTTATTTATTTTGATTACAGCTTGATTCCACACCGTATTTTCAGTACAAGTATGGAATTTTCAGCATGGATATCGGTAGCCCAAATTTCGCAGGCCGACCATAGATATCGGGTGTGCGCCGGCAGGGGAAAGAAACCCCGGACCATGTGCATGGTCGGTGAGAGTCCTAACCACTGTGCCACCGACGCACCTTCTAGTGATTTATGTTACGTCATCCAACTTATTTGCTCAATCTCACTTCTACTTAGTCTTTGCCTGTAATTACCTCTGTTGCTACGCTGACCTAAGTTGAAACATTTTAGTCCATTATGTATTGCGTCATCTAGCTTACTAACCCAATCTTACTTTAGTTGCTGTCTGATTAACTTTGTTTCCATATTACATCATTCTTGTATTAACTAATCAATCATCTGAACTTGACAAACCTCATGTTCACACACACACACACAAATAATTATATATAAATGCGATTGTACAGCTATGTGAATGAATTCTCCGAAAACAGTCTCTTCGCTGAACGTTTTCTCTTTTAGATAAATTTTGTCAAATAAAAACTGGTATAACAGTTAGTTTAAGTCATCCAGTGAATAGTCTTATGGACTTAGAATATGCAGATGACATTGTCCTGTTAGGGGAGGATGCTGACAAAATACAGCAGAGTCTTCTGAACACCTTGAGCTGCTGCAATCTTCGTATGTTTGGCATGCGATTCGCCCCTGTAAAATGTAAGATGCTGCTACAAGAATGACTGGACTACGTCAACTCCTAGCTTAGTGATAGGGAGTGAAGTGATAGAACATGTAGATCACTTCACCTATTTGGGAAGTTGTATCAGCACCAACGGACAATTGACTGGTGACGAAATCTCAGCACGGATCCAATCCAAAAAGCTCGGGCTGCTTTCGCTAACTTACGCCGTCTCCGGCGTAGGCGTGACATCCGGCTATCAAGCAACCAAGGGACGTGTGTACTGCTCAGCAGTTCGCTCCGTCCTTCTCTATGGCTCTGAAACATGGCCAATACGAGTTCAAGACATGAAAAGGTTGACTGTTTTCGATCATAGATGTCTACGATCTCTTTCTCACGTTAGGTGGTATAATAAGGTAAGTAATGTTGACGTTAGGTTAGGCGTAGAGTGTTGGGCAAAGAGGGAAAATCAATCGACGAGGCTATAAAGTTACACAGATTGAGATGGCTAGGTGACGTGCTGCGCATGCCTAACCATCGCCTCCCCCTCCCGACGGGCATTACTAGCTGATATAGGTGCAGGTTGGAAAAGAGTAAGTGGTGCCATGCCAAACAAAAACATGGCCTCATCAATCCATGATATCCTTGACAGTTAAACTGAGTCAGTCAGGTATGGAGATGCAGACTTCCGGGTTGGGGCCCGCCCTCGGGACTCTAAGAATCAATGGCTGAAGACAGACAATAAGTGACATGGCTCAAAATCGTTGTCAATGGCTTACGCAGATGTATTCAGTCTCTAGTGTAATCTTTCATATTCCTTTCTACCATTACTCATTCGTTCTGTTTCACTCTTATACTTGTCAAAACTCTACTGATTCTCTTCACTCATTTTCTTGTCTATCTTTGTGTACTATTTGGAACGTGGCAACTCGAAGTGTTGCACTTCGGTGCGAAGTTCTATGTTGAATCCAGACAGACAGGTCATCCAGCTAAGCGATCCCATAGGTAGGTGTAGACTGCCTTATTGTGGTCCTCGAGATGGTGATGAGAACCAATCAAGGCTGGAGACAATCGGTGTTATTGGCTGGCTGGAAGTTCTTCTCAATGACAGTGCAGATTTGTCATCTCCAGTATAACTCTATTGTTCTCCCATATTACTCCTATTCTTTTCGCCTCACTCACACTTATGCTTATTATCTCTCTCTCTCTACTTTGGATCTGTCTTTACTGTCTTCTGTTGGTTTGTGTGGTAGATGGCGGGAGTGTGGCAAGTGGAACTGCATTTGGGTTTGAAATATATAAATATAAATATTTTACAACTATTCTGTCAAATCTTGACGACAGTTCATTTGAATTATTTTGCAACTGAATAAAATTAACAAAGAAACTGTGTAACTGGCACAATCATCGTGTTTTCACTCTCCGTTTTCTGCAACAGAATGCATATCCTAAAGCCGTAGCTGTCAAGTCACCTGACAACTCCAGTACGTCGAATAAAGCAGGTCACTCTTCAGAAAGAAGGCAAAGCAATAAGTCCGACAGGGTGCTTCTACTAAACTCTAATCCTAAACACCATAATTTTGAAAATACGTCTAATCATAAAATTCTGGATACTAACAGTTTGAACGGACAAGAAGGCGTGATGTTAGCTGATGCATAGGAAATCCTTATTAATAAATAACAATGGATATGTATCACTAATTATTAGTACTTGGTCAAAATTCCCGACTGTCCATATCTTCTTATGGAAACGTTAAGAAATGTTTTACAACTGTTTACCCACACACACACACACACACTCTGTTTAATGTGTTTAACAAAGGTAGATCAATATTTGTAAGTCCGAGGTCAAATTTTGACCACAGCTCATAAAACTTTGTTTACTGTACTTTTTGATACTTTTTGAATGACACATGATTGGACAAATTTTTAAAAACAAGTGATGTTCCTTTTTATATATAAACCTCTGTTATGTTAATTTCGATTAATTTCCCTGAAGAAGTTCGGACCAGATTGCCGAACACAGAGGAAACGTTGGAATTACTCATTTCAATCTCTCTGAGACTTTACAGATATAATTTTTTTTTATAAACCTTCAAGTTTCGAAGTTTTAATAACGGGGGGTTTTTACCTGTACACAATGGTTCTGCTAGTTTCACAACTTTCCTTTATTTATTTATTTGTTTATACGGAGAAATTTCTAATAGCCTGCTATTCGAATAAATCAGCGATTAACAAACACAATACTTACTATAAATCAAATTCTTCTGTAGACATGGAAAGCTAAACCCATGAACTTTAAGAGAAAACAATATTAAACACCTCAATGAAAAACTTAACAATTAACTGATTCTTTGCAATTAAAAATGTTCTCTGAGCTGGTTGGTTTAGTTGCGAAGCTTTCGTCGTCCTTCTGGACAACATCTTCAGTGCCATGTTTAGCACAAAGTGATTCTTATTGTCTTACAAACTGCTTGATAGAAACAACCGGATTACAAGCTTTAGAGTATTAATTATTACCACTCATAATCACATCAATCAACTTTCGCCACACACGTTTTCACAATTTGTCTTATACGTGTAGTATTTCCTCTCTTTCTGATGATCCAACTTCCCCCATGTGTTGTTTGTTGCCACTTTCCATATCTCCGGTATAGCCGGCGTTGCGTCATTCCGATCGCCACGCGTGTGCTATGTTAAATTGACCCATGGTACTCTTTAACACTCTCACCCGGTCCCACCCACTCTATTGTGTGATTACGTGCAAGTGAATGCAGTACAATGCAATAGCTGAACTCTAGTTTTTCTAGGTTATTTAAAACTTACTTAGCACGGTCAATTATTCTAGGTCTTTCATCATGAGCTGACATCGGTTAGAACCTGGGAGTACTGGACAGCTGTTTCGTCAGCCTAGTTTGGGACTCTTCATCAGTACACACCCACCGGGATTGGCTGAGGGTCGCGCTATGTCGTGAATTGGCAGAAGTTAGAATTCATTGGCTGACCATTGGATCGGGTCCCAGTGGCTGCTAAATGATCTACGAGCTAGCTCGCCTTGTAACCAGAAGGTCCTGGGTTCGAATCCCGGTGGGTGCATACTGCTGAAGAGTCCCAAACTAGGCTGACGAAACAGCTGTCCAGTACTCCCTATGGTTGGTTTTCCAATGGTTCTATAACCGATGTCAGTGCTCATGATGAAAATCCTGTAAGCAATCAATCAAATCCCTACAAACCAACACTTGAATATTCTAGGTTTAGCTAAATTTTTATATTCCGATGGTGTAGTTGACCCCGATCTGCTAGTTTGACACATGTAACTGACCTCGCTTACAGTCATCATTGCATGGTATTTGGTAAATTATACTATTTTTCTTAATTAGATCTATTTGGTCCTTAAGATGACAGACAAAGTTTATCTCTGAGAGAGAGTTGTTTG